TGATGAATGGATAAACAAAATTTGGTATAGTCATGCAAATGAATATTACTCAGCCATAAAAAGTAATAAAGTACTGATACATGCTAACCATGGAGGAACCTAGAAAACATGCTAAAAGAAAGAAGTAAAACACTAAAGTCAACATATACTATGAATCTGTTTATACAAAATATCCAGAATACAAATTTATAAAGTTGGAAAGTAGATTAGTAGTTGGTAAGGGACAGGGAGAGAGGGGACTGGGGAATTATTGCTATTAGATATAGGTTTTTTTGAGGTGATGAAACTGCTCTAGAATTAGATGGTGGTCATGTTTGCACAACCTCACAAACACTAAAATCCACTAAATTGCATATATGAAAATTGTGAACTTTATGATTTATGAACTATATATCTCAGTAAAACAATATATTCTAAGAGACTGTAACAACATAGAAAAATATGTGTTAATTTTTATGTGAAAAAAATAGTCCTTGTTGCTGACAGGGCATGGTCACATTTATAGAAAGGAAAGGCACTGAGTAAAGATGGGAAGACACTGTACTCAAATACTAACAGAGATTGTCTTTGTGTATCGGGATAATATAAGATTTTCCTTTCTTCAATTAAAAAAAAATTTAGCTCTTCTGTTGTAAATATTTATTTTTATAATGAAAAATAAAAGTTGTTAAAGTACCATAAAGAGAGAGCAGACAATGTCTTAGTACTTGGAGACTTTTGTAGACTTTAGACTCAAAATCAGAGCTTGCCACATATGCCAGGTGAGGAACAAGAAAGGTGTGTCACTTCATTACAAAAACACAGTGATTCTCAAAACTTAATGTTGTGTCAGGAAGTACTCTGCTACTGGCAAGAACTTTTTTTTTTTTCTGGGTTGGTTATACAATTGTAACTTTGAGAGTGTAATTTGAGAATCAAGGGTACTGGTTGACTGCTAGAACTCATTTACATAATTTGGGAAGGAAGTGCCTTTTTAGAGATTCTCATATATGAGTATGGAGATATGGTTGCTCAGCGCCAGTCATGTAAAGTATACTTTTTAAATTTCCTGGACTAAACAAAACAACATTTTCAGCTTTAATTTGGCCCATAGGCCCTACTGATGACCTCTACTCTGGTGTCTCACTTGAGTGGAATAAACGTGGAGGTCAGTGAAGTTGGATCCATAACCCCAAGAGAAAGGAGATTGTGTGGGCTATGTGAATGTAAAAGCCCCTTGGATGTGGATAATACAAGGTTTGTGGATGGCAGGGAATAGGAGAGCAGGACATGATATAGGCAGGCACACAGGCTTTAAAGGAGCTAATTTATTTTTACATTAATTTGAAGGAATAATGTCCTGGAAGTAGTACTGGGGAACAAAGGGAGGCGGGATGTGTAGTAGGAAACACCTATTTTGAGCAGCTGCAGGAAAAGCAGTAACCTCAGGGAATAACAAATTGAAGTTGAGGCTAGAAGTTGCAAGGAGTATTTAGTGAAGAAGTTAGAGTTAGGAAAACAGACTTACAACAACAGCAAGCCCAGTGGAAAGGCTTGATAGGGAGAAGAGCACAGGGTTATTGAGGCACAGACAGTAAGGAGACTAAAGGCCATGTACCTAGTAAGTGCTATGGAAGCTAAAGTGAATTGACAGTGCTGGTAGGTTTGTCATGGCCACTGAGAAGTCTCATCATGTGTTCAAAAGTTAAGTATAAGACATTAGTATGACAAAATTGGCTGCAAGAAAAAGAATTGTCATTCATAAGAATTCAAACTGAATAGTGTTTTTAAAAATCTGGACTCACAATTTTATTTGAAACTGGAACCTCCGATAAAATAAGAATTTTATCAAATTCTTACTATGTGCTAAATTTTGTGGTAACTAGTTTAGTCTGGTAACACTTCTAACCTTCACAGAATCCTGTGACATAGATAATCCACCATTTACTGTTTTGTTTCTTTCACTAAATTTTTGTGCCTTATTTTCTTCACTTGAAAAATAGGGATGACAGTAATAGTATGTACATCACAGATGATTAAAAGGGACAATGCCTGAGGCACTGAGATCAGTGTCTAGTGCCAGGTCCATAAAGCTTACCTATTATTACCATTACTACTTCTTATACTACTGCTAATGTAATGACTATTATTCTCGCCATTTCACAGATGAGGCTAAGAGAGATTGAGAAACTTACCCAAAGTCATGTCACATAGGTAGTATGTAGAGGAGTAAGGTTTCAAATGCAAATCTCCTCACATTTCTCCTCTTACCTCTGCTGAAGCATTTGAATGGTTTTCATTCGGTTTTAAGATACACACCAAAATTCTCAACAAAACTTGTATTATCCAAGCTGCACTTACCTCTAAGTTTCATACCATGCTTCTCTCTCTGTGTGCGCCAGCCACGATGGCCTTTTTCACTTCCTGTAAATCAGTTTGCTTGTTCTCTCCTCACAAAGGGTTTTGTGCTACTATCTCCGTGTCTGTGGCACTCACTCTCTTACGTATTTTCATCATTCCGTGAGAATTGTTCATCTCTTCTTTTGAGAAGCTTTTGTTAACTTCTCTGACTAGGATAATGACCCAGTCACACATTTTCATGAAACTGCATACCTCGTCTTTGTAACACTTAACATAGTGTTATACAATTTTTAGTGTGTTTTTCTCATTAGTACGTTTCCTGCAGTAGACACAAGACACCTTCTTCCTTTGTTTTCCTTTGTGGATCTGACCTACTAGTTAACATAGAGGATTGAAAAATAATTAATTAATATTTATTGAATAAAAGAAATAAAAGGAACACAGTGAAGTATTAAATAATAAAACAAATTTGTTCTCCTTTGTGAGTCTGACCTAATATTTAACATGGAGAGATTGAAAGAAAAAGATTAACTAAAATTGATTGAAAAAGAGAAAAGGAATAAGAGGTACACAGTAAAGTATTGAATAATAAAACAAATTGGATAAAGACTTTAGGAAGTGAGGTATTTTTAAAAGACATGGACAAAAAGTAAGAATTAAGTAAAATGAAGTAAAAAGATGTATAAACAAGTAAATAATGAATTTGGAAGAAGTAAAAATAAAATGTGGACCAGCAACATGAAAACACTGAATTAGGGATTCAAGAGAGGTGAGAACAAACTATATCTAGGCTGACTTCAGACAGGGAATTCCGAGATGAGATAAGATCCAAGAACATGGGAGCAGGGAGGGTGTCAGAATTAGACCATGGGTTACAAAAGCTTTAGGGAACAAAGATAACTATTGTGTTTGCTTCCTGTTGAAAACAAGATGTAGGTTGATTTGCCAAAGATAGCTAATGTTTGGCAAAGTGGTAATACAGGTAGAAAAATTTATTTTTTAGCTTAATTCTTCATATGGTTTGGATTTGTGTCCCTGATCAAATGTCATGTTGAATCGGAGGAGGGGCCAGGTGGGAGGTGATTGGATCATGGGGGTGGATTTCGCCCTCACTATTCTGGTGATAGTGAGTGAGTCTCAGGTGATCTGATCATTTAAAAGTGTGTGGCATCTCCCTCCACCTCTCTCCTGCTCTGCCATGAAAGACAGTCTTGCCTTACCTTTGCCTTACAATGTGATTGTAAGTTTTCCGAGGCTTCCCAGTCATGCCTCTTTTATAGCCTGTGGAATTGTGAGACAATTAAACTTCCTTTTTTCATAAATTACCCCATCTCAGGTAGTCCTCTATAGCATTGTAAGAACAGACTAATAAAATTCTCTACAATCTCTACAAGGAAGAGATACACACATCTTCTAACGAGCATGCTAAACATAAAAAGGTAGTCACAGGCTATAAGACTTGTATTTTGCCTGGGGTGCATAAGGTGTGCGAAGTAAAGGATTGAGTATAATTACTTAGGAAAATAAAAGATTTTTAGAGGCCATGTTGTGGTAAAGAGAAGAGAGCCAATGAGGAATAACGCCAATTTCTAACAGAAATTGACAGTTAAGAAAGGAACCTCAGTGTTAGGTGATAACTGCCTGAGTTGATATTATGCCATTGATTCATAAGAAACGGTGGTAGATAAAACAAGGAGTGAGCAAAGATTTTGGTTGGAAAGATTTGATAACTATAGAATTAATGTAGAGTATTGTAGGTTGAATTCAGTTTTAGAGTCAAGACCCTCTGTGTTCAAAACACACCTCATCATATTCTGCTAGTGTCAGCTTTTATGCTCCTCAGACTGGAGTGAAAAACAGAGAGATGTGCTCAGTTTCAATTCTTTATGAAAAATAATAATTTTACTAGCAGTAATAAACATTTTTTACACTGACCAAAAGCACGTATATTTTGAGCTAGGATGAAACATTTGCTTGATGATTTTAAAAGATAAAGACATTTCTCACTGATTAGTAGTTGCTGTGGGATATGCCTTCATATTTCTTGCAGGCTATATTAAATTTCCTTTGTCATTAGGAGGATTTTAGTTAAAAAAAAATCGAGAGGCTGTATGAACCTGTTTTGCATTACTGTAAAATTGGGGCTGGGTGGTGATGGAATGACTTTGTGTATCTAACCACGTAGCCCTGATCCTGACATGTGATCTGTGTCCAGAAGTACTATTTTCCTTGCCCTACTCCTCTCTTGCCCTTACGACAAGAATAGATGATGCTTCAATGTTTATTTAACCATTTTAAAAAATTCATCTTTCTATATTGGGCAACTACAGATCTTTCCAACTGAAATCTTTACTCACAGGAATATTTGAATATCCTCCACTTCATGTATATATATACACACACATACACACACACACACACACACACACACACACACACATACATATACACACGTAGTGGAGGATTTTTTAAAGAATACATAGTGGAGTGTATCTTTTAGAAAATGTTCAATATATACAGGTACATATATAATTTTATTTTTTACTTTTTTTTTTTAATATTCCTTTAGGCAATGAAGGGACAAGCCCCATGAGTCGGGATAAGTCTGATTGCTGTCACCTTCTCAAGCTACGGTGGTTGCCCACGTGTCCCGCGTGTCCCACCAGCCCGCTCCTTGTCACCCCGCACTGCTGCAGCCCCAGCGGCACTGTGACTGTGTCTGTTGTGCTCCTGTCCTTGTTGGTGGTGAGCGTTTGGGGGAACGAGTTTAGTATATTGAGATCACCACGGTCTGTTAGTTTTGAAATAGAAATTGGCCTACACCGCAGAGTGAATCCCGGACATGGCTGCGTTGTACATGGTCTTCTCTGCGAAGAAAAACCTTTCTTGGCCAGGACTTCCAGTGGGTGACCTAGTTCATCGCCCTTGGGCTACCGTCATGGTGATGGTGAAGGGAGTGGACAAACTGGCTCTACCCACAGGCAGTGTCGTTTCTTACCCTTTGGAGAAAGCAGTTCCTTTTAGTCTTAACACTGCTGCAAATTCCATTTGCTCCTTATTTTCTGAGGAAACTCCTGCTGTTTTGCAGTTGGCTCCCAGTGAGGAAAGAGTGTATGTGGTAGGGAAGGCCAACTCAGCGTTTGGAGACCTTTCAGTCACCTTAGAACAGCTCCATAATCTCTTGTTTCAGGAAAACTCTATTCTCAGTTCATTTCCCCTGAATTCTCTGAGTAGGAACAGAGTTGACCTGCTCTTTCTTTCTGAACTCCAAGTGCTATATGATATTTCAAACTTGCTGTCTCGTCATAAGCATCTAGCCGAGGATCATTCTCCTGATCTATATTCACTGGAGCTGGCAGGTTTGGATGAAACCGGGACGCATTACAGGGAAGACTCTGAACAATTCAGAGATGCTTCTAAGATCTTCGTTGACACTGCAAATGTTTGCAGATGACATGTACGATGATTACAGTGGGAATGCAGTGGTAGAGATAGTCACTTAAGTCATTTGACACCTCCCTTGTGAGGAAGACAAGGACTATCTTTGAGGCAAAACAAGTGAGGAACACAGTAAGTCCCTATAACTTCACATAGAAGTATAATTTTGAATATTCAGTGATTCTTCAACATGATACTTTGGATAATGATCACCTTGGCCTTGACTGTGACTGTCACCTCCTACAGTATTTGGAACATGGATCCTGGATATGATGGCGTCATTTATAGGATTACAAAACAGAAATTTCTAATTCTGTGCCAGAATTAGAAAAGGGGTTTGGAAATTAGCTATTTTGTTAAAATACATATTACAGTGGTTTAAAGTAGATAGTATACTTCAAATTTATTAAAAACTCACGTTTTGTTTCCTATTTTGTGCATGCCTGTGATTTTTTAGAGTGAATTATAGTATTGATGTGAATAAAATTGTGTGACATAGATTCCATAAGATATAGCCATTTAATAACATAATTTCATTCCCTTTAATGAGTTTGGAAATATGCACTGAAAGAAATTAAAACATTTGGATTAGCTTGTGTTACGTATGATGAAAAAATGCACTGAATTTAGTAGAGAAACTTATGAATGTTTAACTTCTTTACACAGCATAGGTGAAAATCATATTTGGACTGTTGTATGCTATGAACAATTTGTAAATATCTTCATTTGATGCAAATATCTCTTAAACAAGAGAAAGTTTTTTAACTTAAAGTAGCCCTAAAATATGGATGTGTTTATACAGTTACTTAGTTTTGGAACTCTTTCTGATTGATAGAGGGTAGCTGTTTTTTAACCTTCTTCTGCAATTTTTAGTATCCATATGGTCCTTTATGGATACAAAAAATACTACATTTATCTAAGAAAAAACTAGCCTTGTGGAGTATAGTTGCTTTTAATTATACAAAAGAAAATCCTTGAGGGATATTTTGAGGCATGAATATAAAATATTTTTAGTTCAGTAACTTGTCCGCCTGTGTAAATTACTATGGTTTGTGGTTCCACTTTATTCTATAGAATATGAAGTGGAAGTGAATGAGTTCTACTTTTTATGTTGGAGTGGACCCATGACAAGTTAATAATTCCAAAATAATTTTGCTTTAAAGCTCTTTTCTTTAGCTGATATTTAATGTCCTATTTGCATACTAGACTGAGGACTCATAAAGTATAATGTATATCCAATAGAGTGAGATACATATTCATTCTACATATTCAGGTCATAAAACACAATTACATTTAAAAGAATTTTAGGCAAAAGCAACTTTGAATATATTAAAGTTGCGATGCAGAAACACATTAAAATTTTATGGATAAACATTTTTTCCACTGGAGGGTGCAATTTGTCAGTATATCAAAATGTTCACAGTTTCTTTAATGAGTATACTTTATAAATAATATCAGAGAGCGGATTATATCCAAGACACTAACAGAATGCTAAGCAGATTTCATGAAACTTTAAATAAATGCAATTTCACCAATAGGAATCTGGGCTTTATTCCACAACATATTTATGATTTAATGAGGATCAAGTAAGCTGAACATAATTTTATTCTTTTTTTACCAGTTTTGGATATCATATATGACTTTCCTGGCTATTAATACTGCAAAAATGTATACTAATAATTCATGCTGAAGATACAGTCCTACCTACATTATTAAATTTTAGAGCTGTTTTCTTTAGCAGTCTATGTATTTATTAAAAATTATTTATGAAATAAGATCACTTTGCCTTTATTAGACTTTATACCCAGTAATAAAGGGTAGTCTAAGGTTAAATGTAAATTTAATAAGCATAAAATTAACATATATATTTAACTGAAACTTTTTAATTTTATTATACACATCATATAGTATGAAGGCTATTAGACAATGTGTGCTTTAAATATAATACTAATGAAACGAATTATAAAGAAAGCTAGTATTTGTTAAGCACTGGCTAGGTGTTCGGCACAGTTCTGTATTCATTAACTTTCCATTTGTAATTTACTTACTCATCACAACAACCTCGACTAATAGATATCATTTTCTACATTTCACAGATGAATCAAATGTGCCAAGTTATTTGTCCAAGTCCATACAATTAATGCTAGAACTCCACCAAGATGGCCTGGCTCCGGGGCCCAGACTTAATCACTATTCAACAACTATGTCAGCCTTGTTGATGCCAACCACTGCTACTCAAATCGTAAAATGTTGATCTTTATTTTAGACACTTGAAGAAAGGCACTTTCCATGATGAGTTAATGTCTTAAAGATATCCATCAAATATGTTTTTGTGTTTTCTATTTGGCCTAAGTTAATAGAATTTCTTTAATTATGATGTAGATAAATAAGCCTGTGGCAGAGCATCTTAATTGCCTACCCCAGCATCTCTTTCCATCCTTCTCAGTAATAGAACACCAATATTTTGCGGGCACATTGCCACAGTGTAAGACTACATTTTCCAGCCTCTCTCTCAGATATGAATGGCCACATAACTGAGTGGGCAATACATTAGTTAAATGTAAATGTGTGTGGAACTTTCAGGGAGTCTCCTCAAAAAGTAAGGTCTGCGATCCTGCTGCACTTACTCCTAGTTACACTTTTCCTACCTGCAATGTAGGCATGAAGAGCAGCTGGAGCTTAACAGTCACTTTAGATCTTGGGACAGGATAAGAGAATGACAGCAAGACAAGGTATAAATGGCTTTTTTTTTTTTGAAATACCATTTGAGCCAGCAATCCCATTACTGGGTATATACCCAAAGGATTATAAATCATTCTATTATAAAGACACATCCACACGTATGTTTATTGCAGCACTGTTTACAACAGCAAGGACTTGGAACCAACCCAAATGCCCATCAATGATAGACTGGATAAAGAAAATGTGGCACATATACACCGTGGAATACTATGCAGCCCTAAAAGAGGATGAGTTCATATCCTTTGCAGGGACATGGATGAAGCTGGAAACCATCATTCTCAGCAAACTGACACAGAACAGAAAAACAAACACCCATGCTCTCACTCATAAGGGGGTGTTGAACAATGAGAACACATGGACACAGAAGGGGGAACATCACACACCAGGGCCTGTTGAGGGGGTGGGGAGGCTAAGGGAGGGTTAGCAGGGTTGGAGGTACTGGACAGAGCTAACATAAGGAAAAATACCTAATGCAGACGATGGGAGATGAATGCAGCAAATCATTATGGCACGTGTATAGTGTATACCTATGTAGCAAACCTGCATGGTCTGCACATGTACCACAGAAATTAAAGCGTAATTTAAAAAAAGAGAAAGAGAAAAATAAAGGGAATCAGTGATTAACAACAAAAAAGGAACTGCTGTCTTCTTTAAGTCCATATTTTGAGTGTTTCTCACATACACGGCTGTGTCTAATTGTGCTAACAAGTTTGATAGGTTTTAAGAGATCATTTTGTTTATCTTTTGAGCCTCAGTCTACCCCTGAGCATGCCTTTTTTGTGTGTGTGATGGTAGTCTCACTCTGTCACCTAGGCTGGAGTGCAGAGATGCGATCCCTGCTTATTGCAACTCCACCTCCTGGGTTCAAGGGATTCTTGTGTCTCAGCCTCCCAAGGATCCAGGACCACAGGAGGGTACCATCATGCCCAACTAATTTTTGTATCTTCTTTGGAGATGAAGTTTCACCATGTTGCCCAGGCTGGTTTTGAACTCCTGAGCTCAAGAGATCCACCTACCTCAGCCTCCCTAAGTGTTGGGATTACATGCATGAGCCACTGCACCCAATAGATATAATTCTACTATGAGGTCATCAAATATCCTTACAGGCTATATGAACTTTGAATATGCTATTAAGCTACTAATATGTTTTTTGCTTATTTTTTAATATTATAAGTTTTTAAAGATCATTTCTCACTCATAGGCAGGTGAACAATGAGAGCACGTGGACACAGGGAGAGGAGAACTACACACTGGGGTCTGTTTGGGGTAAATAGGGGAGGGACAGTGGAGAGTGGGGAGTTGGGGAGAGAGAGCATGGGGAGAAATGCCAGATATAGGTGAAGGGGAGGAAGGCAGCAAATCACACTGCCATGTGTGTAGCTATGCAACAATCTTGCATGTTCTTCACATGTACCCAAAAAAGATCATTTCTACCTGAAGTTCAAAATTAATTGTTTAAATTAGTCTACAAGTAGTGGTAACTTGGGTAGTAGTGATTTGTGATCAGCTTTTAAATTGTCAATTATTAAAATACTTTAGTTTTTGCAGATTATATGTCCCCTTTTGTGACCAGGAAGTTACTTGTTTAAACTGTGTGTTTGTGTCCCATCCCCTAAAATCCATCTGTTGAAATCCAAACCCCCAATTGTGTGATATTAGGAGGAGATGGGGCCTCTGGGCAGTAATTAGGCTTATATGAAGTCATGAGGATAGAGCACTCATGATGGGATTAGCATCCATAGAAGAAGCGAGAGACATTCTCTCTCTCCCTGTGTGTGCTTGCACCAAGGAAGGCCATGTGAGGATGTTTTCAGGAAGAGGACTGTTTTCATGCTGCTGACAAAGACAACCTCGAGACTGGGAAGAAAGAGAGGTTTAATTGGGACTGGGAGGCCTCAGACTCATGGCAGGAGGTGAAAGGCTCTTCTTACATGGTGGTGGCAAGAGAAAATGAGGAGATGCAAAAGCAGAAACCCCTGATAAAACCACTGGATCTCATGAGACTTATTCACTACCACGAGAACAGTATGGGGGAAACTGCCCCTATGATTCAAATGATCATCCTCCAGGTTCCTCCTACAATATGTGGGAATTATGGGAGTACAATTGAAGATTAGATTTGGGTGGGGACACAGAGCCAAACCATGTCATTCCACCCTCAGCCCCTCTAAATCTCATGTCCTTATATTTCAAAACCAATCATTCTGAACAGTCCCCCAAAGTCTTAACTCATTTCAGCACTAACTCTAAAGTCCACAGTCCAAAGTCTCATCTGAGATAAGGCAAGTTCCTTCTGCCTATGAGCCTGTAAAATCAAAAGCAAGCTAGTTCTTTCCTACATACAATGGTGGTACAGGTATTGGGTAAATACAGTCATTCCAAATGGGAGAAATAAGTCAAAACAAAGGGGTTACAGGACCCATGCAAGTCCAAAATCTAGTGTGGCAGTCAAATTCTGAATCTCCAAAATGA